TTTGGAACATCGGCTACTTGCCTAATCGAGGGGTCGTGTCGAGGAAAACTGTTACAACGTAGTCAGGCACAGTTTACCATAGGTGCGACTGCGGCAACTAGCCTTCCGTAGACATAACACAGAAAGAAGAGATGGTACTCAGCAGAGAACATGAGCACAGAGTTGTAGCGGAGATGATTTGGCAGGCGAGACTGTGGTTGTTTGATTGTTCCGAACCCCGAAATTCCGGTACTCGGGCCATGACTCCGGAGACCCTCGGAACCTGCTGTGTGTTTGCTGCTTGTTTTTTTTTTTTTTTGTTGAGATGAGCCACAAGCGCGCCTTCGCCCGTTGTGCTCACTCTCATCTAGCACCCATCAATGCCTGACCAGGGAGTCAGTTGATAAGAACATCTATCTGCATTTCTCTTTCCAAAGCTCGCTCGGGCCTACCGATCTCACAGCAGTGTAGACAAACCTCTGTGATAGAGCGGTGACAGCAGTGTAACCTCTGTGGTAGACTACAAAGTCTACGACCTACAGCAGCACCGCCACCTCCGCTGCTGCAAGACGCCACATTTTGTGATGAGAACGATTCATTAGGCTCGTTATTACCGCATCGGAAAAGTTTTGCAATTTTCCACGGAACGGTGAAAAGAAAACCCGACTTTTTTCGTTGTTCTATCGCAAAAATTATTTTTCCTTTCCTGAATACACGCTTTGCTCGGCACACAACAGGCTGACTTGGTTTTGCTCACCATTGAGCAGCGGTAAAAGCGTAATGAGCAGCACCCGACACAGATAACAACACACTTAGAAAGACCCTATCCACCCGGCCTGCTGTTTTCAGTTTTCAGCAACAACAGTCGCAGGGCAGGGTGTCGCAACCTGGGTGTTGCTTGCGAGTTCTTCAGTTTACCAGCTCATTTTTCACGGTTGCGACTCCCATCTTTGACCACCACCTGCCCAAAGGTAGACGAGCTCAACACTCATAGGGTGGCAGCCGCGCTGACGGCCAGCATCACATCGATGGCCAATCCGAAAGAATTAGCGTGTCGGAGGCCCTGTTACTCTTGTGCTGCGTGGTGCCGTGGATTGATGTTGATGTGTCCGACCAAAAACAGATCATCTCGCCGCATGTTCCAACGGCATTTTGGTGAGGTGGCATACGTCTCTCACACACCTTTATTGAGCAGCCCCCGAGCACCCAATACCCAAGAAGCAGCACGGCGCCGGGAGATGGTATCATATAGACAGCCGAACCGAAGTAATCAGCGCGCTGGAGGTCTTGGTGCTGTACTCGTTGTACTGTTTCCGTGTTTGCTATGTGTGATCGAAAAAATTCCCCGGCACAAACAGCAGCAGTTGAACACGAGAGCACCACGCAATGTCCAATTTTGGACCAAGAACGGACTGGACGCCGCTTCTGCCGCTTGTCCATCTCCACAACAGACCTGGACATGAGTCTGGCAGGTCTTTCTAGCATTCTCAGAGAAGTTACAGCGCCAGCGGTGCGCTTGTCCGATGCTTCTGTCAAAACACGGATCCGTGAAAGTAGCAAGCCCCCAAAAATCCCGGCTCCTTCTTTCCACGTGTTCGGGGAAAAACGTCTCCACATATGTTAAAAAACAATTCCATCAAATGTTTTGTGTTTTTTTGGTCGTTAATACTACCCCTCGTTGGTTGATCATTGAACACGGTGCGTACGTGCGCACTTTTTGTGTTCCTCGTTGAAAACAATGAGACGGGCGTCTCCTACTGACCCGGACGCCACCATTGCACGATGCATGAACACAACAACTACAGCGCTGTAAGTACCCGCGACCATTATTTCAGTCATTGAGCTAGATGTTAATGCCGTAAATTAGTTATAATCGGTTAAGATTGGTGTCAAAACGTTTGTTTCGGCTGTCTTCGCCGACCTGATCGTACTAATCTCACAATCATGACGCCCCGGTCGCAAGCTCGAGACTCCAAGGGCGAGACGAGTTACCGCACCGTCAACATGCTTAACTCTCCTGCACCAGCGCGAATCTACGCATGGAACTGTTCCCTCTTAGTAATCGCCCAGGTGGTCGGTCAAGGCTTTGTCGGAGAACGTCAACGAACAAACGTCACCGACGAGCGGTGGTGCCTGTCGTCCTTTTATTAACGTTCAACCGCTATCACCACATAGCATGCGTGTGTCGTTGAGGTTCTGTCCACCGAGCAACGTGTATGTGTACAAACGAACCTCCTTTTACTCCCCGCGTGCCACTCTCCTCATCATATGCTTCGGCTACGTGTTCGGGATCCCTTTGGCGCACACACAGGGAAGGTTGTTCGTGGCGTTTGCAGAGTCCTCAGGAAGCCCACAGGGTCGAAATTACATTTATACATGTGAAATCCATGGGCCTTCGGCGCCCGGGGTAATGAGATCGACCGAAACACAATATCGAAAGTCAGGTTTCTCAAGCAAATTCCGTATTGTTGTATTCAATCTGTTATCTGTACTATAATATAGCGCAATGAATCTTCGTTGAACTACGGAGGATGGCTGCACAGAACATCATGCATGCACGCATGTGGTGAACGGTAGCCAGATAAAAATGTGCATGTGGTGTGTGGTTGCCTTTTGCTTCCCTTTGGGAATACCTGCCTGCAGTTGTGAACACCCGCCGCCAGGTAACTGCAGCTTGTGCCCCCTTGGCCGTTTGAGTTATTATTTAAATCTAGACTATATTTGTCTATGCATCAAACGCAAGAGCGCCAGATCAAAATCTCGGCTCAATTTCAATGATCAGTTGCTGCAACTGCTTATTATCCCAAGAGCAGAAACAAATGGAGATAAATGTTCATATGTATGTATGAGATATGTGGACTGGCTACAGTGGTAGCTTCTGTCGGAAACAGACTGATCGTGCCAGGAACGTGCCTTTGTATGCATAGGAAGTCTTGAACGAAAGTACAGGACACGTTCAGTTTTTCTTTGTTACCGTCATGTCCCAGCGGCTCACATTCATTCAAGCAGAGGCAAACTGCATTCCCATCACAAGAGTTCCACCAGTTCCCTACACCTTTTGGGTAAAATACCAGGAATGTTCGAACTACTTCGAATTTTTCATGCAAGCGCCAGAAAAAAGCAGGCCAAAGTACTACTTGATTGATCTTCCGAGAACTTCATGTCATCGTGGCTGCAAAGTCGGCACGTGTTTTCCAGCTTCTTCGTGCCCTTCGTATGTTGTGTGCGAAGTCTTCACTCGCACCACCCTACGTTTCACAGGTAAACCCTGAAGGCGAGGGCGCCTAGCGCCCGTACCTGAAGACCTTGTTTAGATAACATGGTCGTAATGGCGTACAGCCTGGCAGTCCTGACAGCCCCCCTGTGTACGCATCCATGCATCAATACCCTTGTGGATCACTGCTACTACCACTAGCTTACGCTGCTATGACTAGTTTGAGAACTAGACGATTCTGCTGAATTCCTGCTGTGCTTGCCACATGCAAAACAAGCCCACGGCTAATTGCTGCGCATTGCAGCACACAAAGTTAAAGGTGTTTCCCGGACATGTGGTGAATTACGGAGATCGGTGTGTATGTGCTTGCCGTTTCAACTATTTTTAAGCACCCCGCGCTATTGCCTATTTTTGGATAACGTTTGTCATTGATGGTCCATCCTAGGATATTGATTCTCGCCAGGTCACATGCATGAGATCACCAAGGAGAACACACCTTCATCAATTTGCGGCTTTTTTTGTACTCTTCTGCCGTGAATGGCGTGCTTTCCTCCCAACAAAAAATCTCAAACATTTTGTCCCCGCTCCTGCCCAGTCTGCATTGAGCTACGCCATTGCTGTGTGTATTGCTGACCAGCCGAGCCATTGACATTGGTAGGCCTGGCTTCGGATGGGCTTCATCTTCTGCTCGTACACTTAGCCTGGCTGATTTCACACAATGCCTCCGATATCCTGAAAACACGAGACGTACCCTCTCCACGCCTGATTTGTTTTTGTTCGGCGCAGGTGCAGATGCATTTTCTACTATGCACATGACGTGCCAGCATATCAATATCCACTGTGGAGATATCCTTGGTAGCCCGTGGTAATGAAACGTATCACACGGTGCCACGCCATGGTGGTTGGATACCCCACCACCGCGGTGCACATTNCAAAAAATCTCAAACATTTTGTCCCCGCTCCTGCCCAGTCTGCATTGAGCTACGCCATTGCTGTGTGTATTGCTGACCAGCCGAGCCATTGACATTGGTAGGCCTGGCTTCGGATGGGCTTCATCTTCTGCTCGTACACTTAGCCTGGCTGATTTCACACAATGCCTCCGATATCCTGAAAACACGAGACGTACCCTCTCCACGCCTGATTTGTTTTTGTTCGGCGCAGGTGCAGATGCATTTTCTACTATGCACATGACGTGCCAGCATATCAATATCCACCGTGGAAATATCCTTGGTAGCCCGTGGTAATGAAACGTATCACACGGTGCCACGCCATGGTGGTTGGATACCCCACCACCGCGGTGCACATTTCAAACCGTAGCGAGGCATACCCAAGTGAGCCTTGCATAATCTTGGCTCTTTCTCTGCATTGCCGCGAAACCCGACAATCAATCCCGCACAACCCCCCGCCCGATCTGTTGTTCTTGAACATTCGCAGACAATCGTCTACAATTCGTACCCATCAGGGATCCTCGTGCTGTGGCCGTCAGCACCTACTTCCACCGTGTGCACAAGGATAACAACTACCAGAAGCTGCACCCGTCTTTGGACCAGACAGTTTTGGAGATTCTCCCGGTTCTCTGCCACTTTACAACCCTGCGTCATATACTGTTCGGGGGGCTACTGTCCAACAGGACTGAATTGTTTTGGTACGAACAAACTGTCGAAGACCCATTTGACTGGCATTACCGCTGGGCGTCATTTGCCGGCCTGATTCTGCCTGGAGGCTGGATCGATGGCATGGTAGCGGAAAATCAAGCGCACAAGCACTTGAACCCTCACCCGGGGGGAGCAGAGACATCAGACAACCGGACCTGGCAGGACGAGGTTTCCCCGGGGATACGTCCAGAAATGGACTCCATCCTGCGGAAGTGGCTGCCCGGAGTACTTCTTGCCCGATATGGAATTCCGCCTTAATTAGAAGATTGTCGACGATATGCAGTGATTTTGGGTGCAGCAAAGCTACTTGCGTCCAACGAGTAAGCTTGCCGGCACTGCACAGACAGTATTAAACGTCTAGGAGCGCCCCCGCCCCCGCCAAGGCCGTGTATCTCGCGGTAATCAAACGTAATTGCAAGGTGGTGTTATTCGAAAACACAGTTAGTTACGGAAATTGGTTGGTTGCCTCTCGTATATTTGCGGGACGCGTGCAATTCCTTAAGTTGTTCGGCGATGAATATTCTTCAACAATCCCCTTGCTGCTCTTGCTATGGCCGTTCCACGTGACATGACTTGTTGCCCGACCAGAATGTTCCTGAAAAATCTCGCACATTGGTTTGTGGCACCGGTCGGTGTTAGGGCCGTTATCCTTGTTCACCCCCTGGATCGGGTAGCCGTGGAGAAGTGCCAGTCGGGGAAAGCAACACACGAAGAAATACTACGCAGATTGTTAGAGAGAAGAGCGTCGTGTACGTGTGTGTGTCGTGGAATATCTCAGGTCAGGGTGTCGGTGTTTACCCCGCGAAAACGAACGTTCGCTACTTCCCGGTCGAACACCCAAGCGGCGGTCGAGTGTTCACAACGCAGTGACATTTTTTTTCTGTTGTAGTTTCGTCTACGTTTTTGGATCACTTGCAAAAAGTAGTGGATTTATTTGAATGGGGCCTCCTGTACCGGCAGGAGGATGTCACTCATTTCATGTGGTGCCTCGCTGATTGATTCGGTTTCGCTCAGCGCGGCATCACACCCAAAAAGGGTTCAACGGTGGACATTCCACGGTGGAGATGCCATATAGATATAGTTGGGCGTGTGGGATGGTCTCTGTTTTGGTATCTCTGTCTACCTTTTCGACGCTGTTGGGGGGAAAACAGGGACTGGTCAATAGGTTTGTTCATTACTCCGTAGTACGGGGGGCCTGCAGCTGGGGTGGACCTGTGCCAGACCCGTTCCCCTTCTGAGGTCTCCCCGATGAACCCCAACCCAGGTGTAAACTGGAGTTTGAACAATCTCGCATAAAAGTACTGAAGAAAACTTGTCCGAAAAAACGGAAATCAAATCTCAAATCAAGTAAATTGTGTCACAAAGGAGGCGTGCTTACCCCTTTGTCGACAAAATAAAGTTTATGGAATATTCTCGGTAC